TGAGGTGCGAGGCGCGGGCAGCGCGCTGGCTCCGCCCCCGACCTCCGCGACGTCGATTGGCCGGTGGCCGGGCGGAGTCTGGGCGGGCGCGGGGCGTGCCGGAGGGTGTGGGCACCTGTGTGTGCGCGCGGTCGGTCCCGTCGCCGCGTCAGGCCTGGATGCTCCCCGCGCGCGGTCAGCCTGAGGCGGTCTGGGGTCCGTCCTCGGCTGGCTTGGGCTGGGGGCGGGGTGGGGGGCGGCGACCTCTGCAGAGAAACCGCTGCCTTGGGCGCCGTGGTGCGGAATCCCGCCGCCCCGACTCAGCCAGCGGCCGCCTTCTGCAGCGGGGCGCAGGCATGCCTAAGGACCCAGGCGGTGCGCCCCGGACATGGCTCCCGGGCCCCCCATCCTGTCCGCGCCACGCCTCGAGTCCTCTCTGGAGGGCAGGGGCGGTTCAGCTATAGGCTCTGCCGGCCGGCTGCCTCTCCGTGTGGCAGCCATCCCAGAACTGGTGCGCGGAGTGTGTCAGGACCATGCCCAGCTGTTCCCGTGACCCTTCCTGCCAGCCGCGGGTTACCCCCTCGTCCCGCCGCCTCCGTTCGGGGGGCGCGCGAGTGCCCCTGCCCCCCCCCCGGGGGGGGGGGCGGCGGGGGCCCCCCCCCCCCGTGCTGGTGCGTGTGTGTCCAGCAGGACGTCTCGCTTACAACCCTGTAGTGGGGACACGCCTGCCAGGACCGGGCGGCACTCTCTCTGGCACACGCGCCAAGTGTGTGCGGTCGCGTTGGTGGTGCTGGACCATCTCTGTTGTAGCGGACAGTCCAGGGTCTGGGCCGTGTCACTGATGCTGCTGGGCAGCTCCGGATGGGTGTCTGCGGAGGACTTAGGGATCTTGGACTTCAGAGCTGCTGTTTAGGGCAAGGGAACCGAGGGAAGGACGCGGGCATCATGAGCAGACGCAGGGGAGACAAAACATGGGGATTATCGAGACCTTGCTTTTTTTCAGCCCCTGAGATACAAGCCTGCTTCCTGCGCCTCCTTTTCTGAATTCGTTGGGTCAGATTTTCAGTTCTTTGAGGGCGATCCCTGGAATCCTTTTCATACTTGTGTCTTTTTTGTTCTTTTGGTTGAGAGTGATGGAGGTAACAGAAGAGTACAGGTGCTAGAGGGAAAAAAAGATCAGTGTATATCTGAAAGTTAAAATCTGGTAGAGTCTCAGGCAGATTAATTATTAAGTGCAAAAATAGTTTTACAGGGAATGGGTAGGTCTCAGCTGCTATTTTGGTGGGCAAGTTTGAAAATAAGTAACATCTCGTAATTATCTACTGCCAAGCTTTTGAAAAGATCAGGGTCTTTATAAAGGAAAAAGAACCATTGTACGGAAAAATAGCTTCAAGAAAATGACACTGTTCACTGCAGAAGAAATCAAAAGCCAGATTCCTCCTCTTCAAACACAGCTTTTCAGAAACATGATCAGAATCTCTTCTTAGTGGCTCGGTGGTAAAAGAATTTGTCTGTAAGGCAGGAAATGCAGGAGATGTGGATTCAGTCCCTGGGTTGGAAAGATCCCCTGGAGAAGGAAATAGCAACCAACTAGAGTATTCTTGCCTGAAGAATTCTATGGACAGAGGAGCCTGGCGGGCTACAGTCCGTGGGGTCTCATAGAGTTCGACACGGCTGAAGCAATGGCACTCACGCACACACTTTTTATTTCTATCGCACTGCTGGAAAAGATAGACCAGGAAGAGCCCTGGTTTCTCCGCAGGTGACAGATGGAGGGGAGAGGCTGGGAGAATGGGGCCCCCCTCAGGCAGGGAAATGGTTACAATAGACCTAGCAGATTTCTCAGGCCATAGTGCTCTCTGCACTGAGAGCTTCACCAACTAAAGGACTTCATCCCCAGAGGCAAGAAGTCAACAGGACAGACACAGGTTCCTGGCCATCAGGGCTGGCCTGGCGGCAGGACTGAGGCCTGCATGGCCGTGACTCCTCTCCCCCTCACCTCCATTAGCCTCGGAGAGACAGCTCTCAGGTTGTGAAGAGGCACCGCACGTTTGATCCTCTGGTCGTTTCGTGGAGGGTAAATAAAATTCCAAGGATTCTTAACAAGAGTCTTGAAACACTGAAGTAGTGTCTCTCCCAGTAGGTGGATAAAGAGCTTCACCTCGCAGCCCTGGCAGAGACAGCTGCTCTGGTGCCCTAGGAACCTGTGCAGTTTTTGTTACTTAATTACTACAGACATTTCTCATCAGTTGAGTTTGTTCTTCCTGGAGTGCCTGAGTTTTTCCAGGTTACTGTCTGGGGAAGCCACATCTGAAAGTAGACCTGTTGTATCAGCTGGTACCTTACGTAAACCGGGCATTCCATTTTCCAAAGAGCACTTTCTCCCCCAAGGGCAGAGGCTGTCCGGTGTTCACCTTTGTGTCCCTCCTGTGCCGGGCACAGTAGGTGGCACAGGAGAGGAGCTGGGGGAGGACTGGGCTGCGTTCCTCTGAGCGGTGGAGTCCAGTGTGGATGTTAGCCTCCAGTAAGACGCTGCAGCGGACCTGAAACCAGCGTTGCCCGGCGTCGTATCTGACTGACAGTGTTGTATATTGTGATTAACTCTGTAAAAATTAGAAAATAAATCTTACCTCAGTAGGTTTGATAGATGACCTACTTCCAGACACAGGGTCCAGGCAGAGATGCAGATAAAGGGGCGTCTTGGTGGAAGGTAGGGGCCACTTCGCTGACTTGAGGTCTTTCGGGACAGGACTCTCAGCCACCCTGTGCTTTGGGTTTCCGGTGGGGACCCTGAGCAGGGTGTTGGGAGGACAGGGTCTCTTCTGTCCAGCTCTGTCCTTGTTCCTTAGATCCTGTGAGGCGTCGGGTCATGCCGGGTGCTCTCTGTCCTTACGTGTCCTTAGGAGGAAGGACACAAGAGCAGCTTCCCGACGTTTCCTCAGGAAGCATCCACTGGACCTTCTTGCAGGGGAGAAGCCGGCTAATTACAGCGATTCTGTTACTTGGTTATTTGACGTTAATCTCACTAGGCCTGTTATCTCTTCTGTAAAACAAAAGGGTATTTCTTATTTTTAAAATTTATTTATTTTTAATTGAAGGGCAATTGCTTTACAGTATCCCTTTGGTTTCTACCAAACACCAGCATGAATCAGTCATAGGGAAAGGGTATGTCTTAATTTATTTGCTTGTTTACTCAAACACATCCTGAGCTCCTGTGATCCTTCAGAGACTGTCGAGGGCCGGTCATGACAGAGGTGAGCTCCGTGTTCACCACAGAGTGACGGGGGCTGTCCGGTGGTCTGTTGGAGTGACGTGTGCAGAGCTGGTGGTCATGGAGGGGGCGCAGCCTGGACCAGGGAGCTGGGGCGGCTGTTTGGAGCTGAGGCTGGAAGCAGGAGGAGGACTTAGGTGGATGGATGCAGGTGACCACGGGTGTCCCCTGCTTCTGGTTAAAGGCTGTTTGAGACTCTGATAGCGTCTGTTTCTTCCCAGTTTTTTCCCTTGAAGTCACATACAATAACTGATCTTTGTTATTCACATCAGCCTTTTGTTTAAATGTGTTTGAAGACCCTGACCGTTGTCGCTCTTAAACATTCTTTCTTCCTGGCTAAGAATGCCATGCGTCTCTGTTCTCCATAAAGGAGGAGACTGCTTCCATGAGTAGTCTGCAGTCTGCCCTTCAGAGTGCAGTCCGCACACTGCGGCGGGCTGACCTCACCTGGTGGCCCTGTGTCCGGGGGCTTCCCCATCCTGCTCTGCAGATGGGCGGCCGCGGTGCGGAGGGGAAAGGGGGGCAGATGCTGCCCCAGAGTCACTCAGCCGCAGGCCAGAGCCCCTGCCTGCCTTGCTCCACTGCAGCCGCCTGGGTCTGCTCGCAAGACCTGTGTGTCCTCCCATGCAAATGTGCTACTTTGTTCCGCCCCTTCCCTGTACCCCAGGCTACTTCCTTAGATTCAGGTGCATCTGTGGGCCTCTTGTCTGTCCTGTCTTTCTCTGGACGCGTTCTCTGTTTCTGGTAGAACTTGCTTCTGAGTCTGAAACATCTGTCTTCCTCAGTGGCCATTTGTTGGGCTTAAGGCTTACTATTGCATAAGGTGCTTGTAAGCGTTAAAATTTAGATAATGCTTGTGTGCTGTGCTTTATCAGTCGTGTCTGACTCTTTGTGGCCCACCAGACTCCTCTGTCCTTGGGGATTCTCCAGGCAAGAATGCTGGAGTTAGGTTGCCGTGCCCTTCTCCGGGTGATTTTCCCAACTCAGGGACGGAGCCCAGGTCTCCCTCGTTGCAGGCTGATTCTTTCCCGTCTGAGGCGCCAGGGAAGCCCAGATAACACTTACATGACTGAACACTCCCATGGACTGTTGAGGCCCATCGCAGTGCACTCCAAGCACAGAGCAGGAGACATCTCCTGAAATCCCCTCTTTCTTGCATCATGGAATATTGGTCTTGGAAGAGAGAATTTGGAGGTCCTTTCACCTGCCTTCCTCATTTTTCAGATGAGGAGACTGAGGGCTGAAGACTTACAGCAAGTTAGTGATACTTCTGTAATTAGTATTGACATCATAGAACGAGCAAATAGGGGTGCTTCCTGTTTGTAGTGAATGGAAGTGAGAGAGAAGGAACAAAAAGATGCCCTTTATTTTACTGTTTTTTGTTTTGTAAATTAGGATAGAGAGTCCAAGGTTCCAAACAGACCTGTCATTACCAGCCCGGGATGAATTTGACCTGTGACCACCTCACATGGTCTTAAAAACCATGTGCTGCTGAAACACAGATCAAGTTCTTCATGCAGTTTTGGGAAGTGTTTGGCCTATGATAGGAGCCTGGGGAGCAGTGTCCATGCAGGGTCCGGGAAAGCGGGCCCCCTTCTGGCCTGCCCCCCACGCCCGCAGCCCTGGGCATAAGGAGTGTCCGCGAAGCCCCCGCCCTCGCCCTGGGCCCTTTGTCCTCGCAGGTGGGTCTCCACCTTGTGCCCTCTTCCCCCATAACCCCCCGCTCTCCTGTCTGTGCAGGAGCGTCCCTGGGCATGCGTGCAGCCGGATCCGAGGAGCCCGGCTCAGAGGGCCTCCCCTCCACCTCCCTGCTGGACCTCCTGCTGCCCACAGGCCTGGAGCCGCTGGACTCGGAGGAGCCGAGCGAGGCTGTGGGCCTGGGCACTGGCCTGGGAGCCCCTGGATCGGGCTTCCCCAGCGAGGAGAGTGAAGAGTCCCGCATCCTGCAGCCGCCGCAATACTTCTGGGAGGAGGAGGACGCACTCAACGAGTCCAGTCTGGGCCTGGGGCCCACCGCAGGTAGCGTGCCCGCTCGCCCCTGTGTTTCGGAACCTCCATCTGGTTTTACCCTGGCGTGCTGGGTCCTTGTGGCTGTGCTCAGACCACCTCCCATCGGTGCTCGGCCTTCTCGCGTCAGCGACTGTTCGATGCAGAGTGCAGGCTCTTGGCACGGGGGCTCAGCAGCTGTGCGTGCCGGGCTCTGGCGTGTGGCCTCTGAGGCATCCCCCTCGGCCTGCGGGGTCCTCTCAGGCCAGGCCTGGAACCTGTGTCTCCCGCGTTGGCAGGTGGATTCTGAACCGCTGGCCCACCAGGGACGCCCCCGTCTCTGGAGATGTGTGCTGATGGCTGCCGGGAGGCCGGGCACCATGCCTGACAGCCCTTGCCTGGCCCACGCCCCGCCCCTTCTCCATCCTCACCGGCTCTCAGCCTCTGCTGCCCTTCGGAACCTCAGGCTAGGTCTCTGGACTCTGAGGGCCGTGCTAGCCCAAGAGACCCCTTTCCCTTTTGTGATATTCACGGCTGAGTAGCGACCTGTGTTCTGTGCTCGTGCAGTTGAGTGTAACACTGGCAGCCCGTGAGATGAAGGGTGTGAAGCCCGTTCTGAGCACGAGAAAACCGAGGCTCAGAGAGGAGGACGCGGGCCTGGGGCCACAGAGCTGTCGGGGTGGTCCGTCGCAGTTCAGGCGCCGGTCTGTCCAAGGCCTCGGTCTGGTGGGTTTCTTCCTCTTCTGAGCTGTGTGGTCTCTGCTGAAGGGTCCCTGAGGTCAGCAGACGCCCTGTGCCCCGGGATCTCTGAGCCCCACCAGGCGTTCAGAACGCCCTTCCCTGGCTCTGCCCTGGGGCTGGGCCGGGCTCAGTAGCGCTTGGCTGCGACTGATGACGAGCAACAGGGCTCCCCGGCTGGCAGCCGCTGCCACTGTGCGGGGCTCTTGGATGGCGCTGGGCGCGCAGACTGGTGCCCAAGTGTGGGGCTGGGCATTACAGAATTTAGCCCTGGGTATTTTTTTAATAAATGTATTTCGGGTTTGTGTTCTCTAATTACAAAAATAATACATGAAAAATACAGAAAACATGAGAAACACGAAAACAATCCAAAGAAGAAAACCTCCCCATGATGTCATGATGAAGAGATGATAACTTCTAGTAGTTTGGGCTACATGCCTTTAGTCACTTTTATATGCAACATTGGAATCATTTTTTCCACTTAAGATATTTCTTAAATTTATTTCCACATTGTTAGCTATTCTTTTATAATCTGGTTTTCAGTGACTCCATAGTATTTTCTCAGGTAGCGCATCATCCTCAGCGTGGAGCGGTTCCCTGTTGCTGAGTGTGCAGTTTCCAGTTTGTTTGTTTTATTTTGTCTGTGACTGTGCTGGGTCTTCATTGCAGCGGCCCCTCTTGCTGAAGAGGTGCTTGTGGCACACAGGTTAGTTTTTTGGCTTGTGGCACCGTCCCAGACTGTGGATGGCACCCATGTCGCATGCATGGGCAGATGGCTTAATAACCACTGGACCACCAGAGAAGCCCTAGTTTCCACTTGTGATGATGCTGCAAAAACCCGTATGTATCTTTGCACTTTTCTGGTTGTTCCTTGGGATAAACTTGTAGAGTCAAATTGCTAGGTCTAAAGATGTGTCCGTCAGCATCCCAGAAACAAAGTCGTGCCCACATGGAGGCATCCAAGGAGGTTGTGTTTTGGTGGGTTTGTTGCTGTTGCTGGAGGACACGTCCTGCCTCAGGTTTATCTGTGCCAGCGTCCAGGAGCACACCAGCCCCGTGCAGACAGCAGCCCGGGGGTCTCATCAGTCCTCCTGTCCTCACGCTGGCAGACAGCGGCCTGCACCCTGCAGCCTGTGTGGGGCCTGGCCGCCTTTGGGAGAGCAGCAACCGTAGCTATGGTGCCTGGGCCTTGGTTTGAGCCTTGGCCTGGGACTTCGGGACCCTTGGTGACCTGGGCACCAACCCGTTGCTGGGCTTCAGGTGAGCGGGGTAGGTGAGTCCCCTGAGCGTGCGCTGCCGCCCTCGGGGACCTGGCGCTCAGACTCCGTGGGCTCTTGGTGAGCCTCAGCAGGGACACTCACGGCCCTCCCTGCTGTGCTCCTGGGCAGAGCGCGTGCTCCTCAGGAACTTGGGGTCTACCTTCTTAAGCGATTCTTGCTTCATGACCAGGGTTTCTCGATGCTGTCTCTGTGCCAAGTTGGGGACGGGTTGTGTGTGGTGTGGTTCTTGGACTTGGCCGTGTCTGCAGATCCTGAAGCGCCTGGGAGCAGAGAGACCAGGGAGGGTCATTTATAGACAGTGGGCTCACCAGGGCATCGGCACGGGCTGGCAACCTGGGGAGGCCGGGTCTCCTGCAGCAGAGTGCTCAGCGCCCACCCCAGGGGACAGAGAAAGGCACAGGCGGCAGGAGCCTGTCGTGTGTGGGGAGGGATGGGGAGCAGCAGTGGGGTGACGGGGATGAGGGCGGGGGTCGGTGCTCGGGCTCCAGCTCCTCCGGGGACCCTGTTGCCAGCTGTGCTTCCCCAGCCTGTCGAGGGGCCTGGGTGGGGCTGCTAACGGTTCACGGGGTGGGTCCCCGACGGAGGACGGGGTGGACCTGACATGAACGTGCCTCTTCTGCAGGCTTGTGTCAGTGTGGCCAGGGCGGCCTCCAGAAAGGGCGCTCCGGTTTGCATGCCCATCGGGGGGAGTGGATGCCAGGTTCTGGACCCTCCGCATCACTAAATTCTCTGACTGGGAGAGCTTTGTCGGTTTAACACACAACTCTAATGGCTGGTAAATTTTTACTGTGGGGCTTCTCTGGGGGCTCAGCAGTAAAGAATCCGCCTGCCAATGCAGATGCAGAGATGTGGGTTCAGTCCCTGGGTCAGGAAGATCCCCTGGAGGAGGAAATAGCAACTCACTCCAGTATTTTTGCCTGGAAATTTCCTTGGACGGAGGAGCCTGGTGGAGTCCTTGAGGTCGCAGGGTTGGACACGACTGAGTGACTCTAAACAACAATGGGTTGTAGCTGAAATGTGTTTTAAGTTAAAGCACACACCCACTGAATGTGTTATGTAGTCTAGTTCTTTCTGATTTGAAGCACGTGCAATTAAGAGCGAACTGTGGAGTCAGGCAGAGCCCAAAGTCCCAGCCCTGTGACTTGGGCAGGTGGCGATCCAAGCCTGTTTTCTGTGGAAGGAAATAGTATCACAGCATGGTGAGGTTTAAATGCAATAGCATATTTGAAGTGCTTAACACATGGTATTGTGTAATGAGATAACATGAAAATGTTAGCTGTTATTATTACATTTCCAGTTTTTGAGGCTTGCTTATCACTGTATAAATCTTTATATAAAAGGGATACAAACTTAGTGTCTGACATAAATATAAAGTTGTTTCCAGTTTATTGCTTACATTTTATTATAGTAATACTTGACATACATAGGTGAAAATCTTTAAGCTTTGACAGTCTTCCTTTTGAAATGTTCTTATGTGTTTTGTTTAGAAAAGCCTTTGCCTCTATGAGATAGGTGCAGTTTTATTTCTTCTGTTCTTTTCCAGCTTAGGTTTTGCTTGTAACTGTCTGCTGGCTGTCGTCTGCTCGGGCCGAGGTGTAGGTGCGGGTGGAGCTTGCCCGTGTGGAGGGCTGCGGCCGCAGCAGCTGTGCTGTGCGCAGTCGCATCCGACTCTCCGTGACCCCGTGGACTGTAGCCCGCCAGGCTCCTCTGTCCATGGGATTCTCCAGGCAAGAACACTGGAGTGGGCTGCCATGCCGTCTGCCAGGGTATCTTCCCGACCCAGGGACCAAGCTCAGGTCTTCTGCATCACGAGCAGATCCTTCCCCAGCTGAGCCGCCCGGGAAGCCTGGCTGGGGCGGCGCTTCTGGGGAGTCTGTCCTCCTGTTGAGGGGCACCCCGCGTCCTCGTGGTGCTGCGAGGGGCCTTCCCTTTTGTCCAGACTCTGGGGTTTTGGTGGGAGAAGAGCTCGGAGGGTCTGGGGAAGGAGCAGCTGTGCGCCTGGCCCGTCCTGGGGTAGCGGTGGGGTGGCAGGGCCTGACAAGCTCAGGTTGCTCTGACCCCGCCTTCCCGCACGCGTCTCCCTTCTGTTCTCCCACGTGGACTCTCTCCTCCCGGCGGCCTCCCGGGACTCAGTCACTGGCCGTCACTCAGAGTGACAGGTCCTCCTGCCGGCTGCACGCACTGTGATTCCTGGTTTGTGCTGCTCGCCCCGAACTGTGGGGAGACGCCTGGCCGCTCAGGCCGGGACCAAGGAGGGCTCCGTCCCTGCCCCCCCCCCCGCCCTGGTCGCTCCGCGTGCCCACAGCCTTGCGCTGTCCCCAGCGTAGTCTCTTCTCTGTACAGCCCAGGAGGGCTCTGAAGGAAGGGGACCGTGGGGTCCAGGCCACACGTCCCGGCTCTGCAGGAGACGCCCTTGCTGTCTGGCCCCTCCGTCCTGCCGTCAGCCTGCTTGGTGGATGTGAGACTGAGGATGCACAGGGTACTCAGCGCCTTCCCAGGGTCACAGCTGCTGTGTGGCGGAGCTGTGTTGAAAGTCAGTATCCACTTACTGACCGTGCCCGCGGCACCCTAACCCTGTCCCACCTCTCCACTCCAGCCGCCTGTAGGCTGGGTCCTGCCTTCACCCCTGGCCGGAGAGACTGTCCTGAGAGGCTCCCGCAGGGGACGGGGCCTGCCACTTTCCGTGCTGGTGGTGCCCTGGCCTGGGGGAGGCAGTGCAGCCTGTGTCCCCACGCTGGGCCCCTGGCTGCATGGAGGGCACACCTAATCCTAATTCTTGCCCCAGAGGGGACATCTCTGTGCTGGCGCAGGCCCTGAGGTCAGCCTGCCACTGTGTTCTCATGGCTATACTCTGAGGCCGTGACAGGCGCAGAGTGTTCAGGCCATGGGGCTGGTTTGTACCAGGCGGGTCCTGCCCCAAGAGCACGCCCTAGGGTGGGCCCGTGTGTGCACTCCCCTTGCCCTCTGCTCCCAACCCGGAGAGTCAGAGGCTTCCCTCCAGGGTCTCCAGGAGGG